GTGTGTGTGTGTGTGTGTGTGGTGTGTGTGTGTGTGTGTTGTGGTGTGTGTGGTGTGTGTGGTGCGTGCGTGGTCGTGGTGGTGCGTGTGGCGGCGTGCGTGCGTGTGCGTGCGTGTGCGTGTGTGGTCCGTGGTTGTGTGCGTGTGTGTGTGTGTGTGTGGGTGTGTGTGTGTGTGTTTGTGTGTGTGTGTGTGTGTGTTTGTGTGTGTGTGTGTGGCATGTTTGTGTGTGTGGTGTGTGTGCATGTGTGTGTCGTGTTGTGTGTGCATGTGCATGTGTGCATGTGTGTGTGGGGTGTTGCATGTGTTCCTGTCGTGTGTCTTTTCTGTGTGTCTCTGTCTTTGTGTCTCTGTGTGTGTGTCTGTGTCTGTGTGTCTAGTGTCCTTGCTCTGTGGCTCTGTGTTCTTCTGTGTCTCTGTGTCTCTGTGTCTCTGTGGCTCTGTGTCTCTGTGTCTCTGTGTCTCTGTGTCCTTCTGTTTCTCTGTGTCTCTGTGTCTTCTGTGGTCTCTGTTCGCTGTGTCCTCTGTGTGTCGTGGGCCTGTGTGTCTGTGTGCTGTTGTGTTCTGTGTGTCTGTGTTCTGTGTTCTTTGTGTCTGTGTTCTGATGTTGTTCGTGTGTCCTGTGTGTCTGTGTCTGTGATCTGTTGTCTGTGTCGTGGTGTCTGTGTCTGTGTCTGTGGTCTGTGCGCGCGCGCAGTGCGTGTGCAACCCTGTATCGAAGGGCAGTATCCAGAAACCTTTGAACTGCATGGTGAGAGCCACGCATGTGGAAAAACGAATCTGGAGTCATGCCAGCCCGGAGTGTTCCTGTCCAGTTCGAGAGCTGGACATCTGAAGGTATGACTTCTAAACCCGGCAGTGACCTTCGACGAATTTCAATTGTAACATTTTGACGCGCGGACCTTAGATAATTTGCTGACCTGAGATCTGATCGGTCTGTATGCAAGTGCGATTGCGGCGCGTCGATGGGTGCGTATTTGTTAATGTTTCGTTGTGGCCGTTCCGCTGCTACTAAGTTGGGGGTCCGAGTCTGTTTCGCTCCGGCTTGATGCTTGGGTCCGCTGTTATCCAGAGATCCAACCACTGATGAACCACTCGTGGTTTCAACCAGTGTGCGTGTTTGTGGCGAAGCCCCTCCCACAAGCCATTGCTGTACTGGTTTCTCCTCATGTGGCTGGGCCCCCTGTTTTCCGCGTCCCGGATGCAAATGCAAGAATGAGCCTCAGAAAGTGAACCTGCTGTCGCAACCCCCAACCCCCAAGCCTCCAAGAACTTTCTTGCGTTCTTGTCGATCTGAATGAATACTGCTCAAATATTCTTCCAGCTTTGGTGATGTTGGCTTTTGATTTGCAGTTTGCCTGGGGCTTTGGTTACGCTTCCCAGTCGATGGAAGATGAGTAATTCCACATCAGAAAATACCAGAGCCCATGAGCCCCTTGATCCCTAGAGCCGAACGCGAAGCTTTGGCTTTGCATTCCACGACAATCCAGCAAACCATGCAGTTGGCGGAGCCCTGGCACTTTTTTCGCACCATCCGACAAACTGATGTCCCATCAGATCACCCTTTTTCACTCTCAGGCTTTCCAGCCCGAACTCGACCCTAAGTTTGGGGCCCCTACACAACGGTATCTAGCTGCTACCCAGAACACTCCCCAACCCTATCATCCCATGACAGTTCGTCTAGCAGCACGAGTCCTTGCAACTCCAAGTGCTCTGACTCCGCAGCTCCGAAGGCTATGCAGCTTGTCGGGGACCGAAAAAAGCAGGACCAGTGGCTGCTTCCCAGCGACAGGAAGTGGAAACACACAGCGCATACCCGGAGCCTCTGCGTGTCAGGTCCGCCCTAAACCCTGTTTTGCTGCCGTCCGACCCTAACGTTAAACCCTCCAGGGCCACAGATGGTGTTGGTTCTTAACCCCTCCGCCAATGAGGGATGCAGGGCCTATAGCCAGTTTTGTCCTTGGCTGAAATAACCTTCTCCTGCAGACTGCAACTTTGGCCAGAAAAGGGTTTATTGTTCTTGGGAAAACTCCGGAACAAAGAACAACCAACTTATACTCACATGCTCGCGCCACGGGCACGATGGTCATAGGTTGGGTTCAGACTGCAAGGCCCAAGCTGTCCATTTCTAAGGGGGAGGGCTGAACATCCACTGCAGCTATACATGCAGTGGGTCCAGGGAGAGGGCTGGGTAGATGTTGAACCCTCATCCTTCAGGAGCAGGTTGTGGACCTCGCTACAGTGCGCTCCCACGGAAGGGCGCAGCCTCATGGCGTCTAAGAGGTCTCGTCGCAAATCTATTGAGTGGAAGTGAATTGTTTGAGTTGCGGTTGTTGACTTTTTGAGGATCAGCAAGATCAACCTTGCTACCTTCGTTCGAGTCAGTATCGCCTGAGATCGAGGGGTTTCTAACTACAATCCTCACCGTGGTGGGGAAGGGGCGGATCCTGCATCGAGCTGCCAGGTTTGCCCATGCCGATCTGCGTCGTCTGCCCAAAACTTCTTTCCTTGCCGAAGGAAGCAATCCATGTTTTTCGGGTTCTCTTCTACTGTGATTTCTACAGCTACAAAAGCGTACCCAGAATCCGGAAAATTCCGACAGTTCGTAAGGGGAGGATTGAAGCCCTGCCTCTGAACTCTGCTTGCCTTCGCTGATGCCACGCTCAGCGACCCCGCTGGGCCGCCCGGTCCACCGAGGTTTTTGGGGGGCCGCCTGACTATCTGGCCAGTTGTGCAACGCCTCTCTCTCTGCAGCTTCCTTATACTCTCTCTTTTGTGGTTTAGGGCTCAGAAGCCGCCGGCACTCGATGCCATGCAGGGTGCTTTCTGAATGCTGCTTCATTCCCACGGTTGCGCGCAGGCCAGCACAGCTTTAAACCCCGCTGGAGAGCCCTCGCACTCAACCTTTCAACTTCAGTCTTTTCTCAGACCCTAAAACCCCCCCACCCTGATCATCTACCCCCTACACCCTAAACCCTGAACCCCCCCCGCCCCCCTTAGCCCATGAGCACACCTGCGTGCTCAGCCGATCAGCTCGACTTGAGGCTGCACGGGCAGAACCTGTGGTGGCCTGAGGATCGGAAGGGTTCCGTAACTTTTTTTCTCACCCGTTCCGTATGCGTTTACGGGGTAGAGGTACAGTGGCCCAGTGGCCTAGTGGGTCTAGGGTTTAGGGTTTAGCAGTTTGAAGGAGTGGAGGCGCGCCCCCAAATCAGGGTTTCAGGGTTTAGGGCTAGGGTTTACGGGTTTCAGGGTTTGAGGGGTTTTTGTTTAGGGTTTAAGGGTTAAGGGTTTCAAGGTTTTGTGGGTTTTGCGTGGGGCTTCAAGGGTTTTAAGCGTTTGGGTTTTCGAGTTTTGGGGTTTAGGGCTTAGGTTTTGGGGCGTATAGGGTTTATGCTTCACGTGAGGTTTTAGGTTTAGGTGGGGAGCTGGGGAGACTGCTGAATCAAGACTCACTCCCCTCCACCGCCCCTATGCACTTGCAAGGCTTGAGTTCAAAAACTTTCTGAAAGGTCTGGCTTGAGGAAGGCTTTGGCTTGTTTTTGTTTACCTTTAAAGGGTTCCTGGGGATTCCTGCGCGTGGGACTACAACAGCAGCGATCGAGGCCGGTGCAACTTCTCCCCTCTGAGCAGTCGCACGGCCGCCTTTGCCTGATCCAGGGTGAGCCTCAGGTTTTAGTTCAAGTTGCAGGGCTCTCCAAGTTTCAGTGTTTTCCTCGATCCTTTTCGCAAGAGTAGGCACAAGGTTCCTCAACCCAATCCCGACACGGAACGCTAGCAAGCACCATCTCCGGTTTTTGAGTGCTTAGATTGCGACCCGATCTTGCGATGCGTCTGCACCTGTTTGCCAAGACATGGCCAGGCGATCTGGAAAATGATGACTCCAGCAAAGAGGGTTTATCTTAGAAGCGCTGGACCATGCGCACATCAGATTTTCGGGCTACGAAGGTAATGTTCCACTGGCCGCGGCACAATGCGGGGAGCCATGAGAAGGGTTCCGGGCTTCCTGTCCTGGCGGGTGAAGGGCTCAGGGCATCTTGTGGCTCCGAGTCGCGGGGGCAAGGATTCAAGGCCAGGTAGAACAATGCGTTGCAGTTGGTTTGGGCACTGGTGCATCTATAAGGGCTTCTTGTAAAGGTAACCCTCTCCAGGTCTGCATCTGCCATGTTGATGTCGTCGATGACAACCTCAACAAGCGACGGCGAAGCAAACCCAATCGCAGATGCCATCGCCAGTGATTCACACCTAGACAAAGAAAGCACAGTGCAGGAACCCGAACCATCAATCCAGCTCGGAACGTTTAGTTCTCGGCCCACCGGAGAGGAAAGAACTGAAGCGCCCCAGATGCCTAAGCGCCGTGCCCACTGCTTGACCTGAGGGTTGTTACCTTGGCGGATTTGGGCCACTTCCTCCACCCTGGAGTGTTACAGGATATGGGAATCACGAGCATGCACAAACCCTAGAGACGCTGAGAAACCTCCCCGGAATTGAAAGCTCCTCTGAAGATGACGAATCTCGCACCCGAAACGACACCCACTGCACTCAGCCGAAGCCGACGTCTCCAAGCTCATTCCTGAGGCCACGGCTCAACCACTGGCTGATTTCGCGCGCGCGGCGCTCCGTAAAGGCCTGGCACTTCTCGGACAATGGTGTGTTGAAACCTTTGCAAGTACTAGTAGATGCCCCAATGTCCAAAGGACTCTTAGCCTTGAGCAAGATTTGTCTGATTGCTTGAAGAATTTGTTGTTGATACACCACTTCAACGAGGTCGTATACAACCAACGGACGCGAGTGCCACAAAAATCTCAGTCTCTGCAACCAGCACCAGCACCCCTATTCCTGCACAGCCCTTGCAACCCTCAGCGGGACAGCTCTTTCATACCCTCTCTCTTCGCCACAACCAAGGAAGGAGCGAGGACCTCGAGCCCAGGGCAGTGCATTTCTAGATGTTTCGAAAGTACCTTCATCTCCGTCCTCGCTCCTTCCCCCCTTTGTGTACGCTACGTCATTAACAAGTACGGCCCATCACCGGGCTCTGCCCGGCGAGGCCACCAGTGCCGGAAGGCCCACCCTAGGCCCGTGACTCCGACCACGCACGCGGCCACCAGCAACCAAGCAGCGGCTCCCAACACACTGTGGTCCCAGACTCCCGGGCTTGTGCCTGGAGCCGGTGGCCATGTGGCCTGAGTGTGGGTCGACTGCAGCACTGCGGGTGGGGCAGCCCAGTCAGAGTCCATGGACACAAACCGCTGGAGCATCTTCAGCGCCGCCTCAACACGCAGATTACAAGCAGACGCTTCCCGAACCAGTCCTGGACATCATCCCCGTGCAATCTTGCAGCCCATTTGCCTCGGGCTGATCTTTGGGGACCAGGTGACCCGAATTGTAGATCTGAAGGAACCTCAGTCTTTGTCTCAACAAAACTGAGTTCAACACGAATCAACCCTGCCAGAAAAGAACCGTCGGCCACTAAACTTCATCCTAAACACCTTCCCAAAGAAAACCTAACCGTTCCCTCCTTGATTGTAGGCCGGAGCGCGTGAAGCCACCGTGTGACTTGTGCCGCCCCGCCGCCTTTCCACGAACGTGGAAGGCACGCAGGGGGGCGGCCTTCCAGGCCGGCTGCCCTCCTGGGCGTTGTTTAACTACGACTCTTTGAGGAGTTTGAACCCAAACCAGTGATCGCCCTCTAGACCGTGGGAAGAATTCGCCGTGTCTCCAGATGTGAAGATCTTTGTCTGAGTGGGACGGCTGGCAACCAAGGACGATGCCATTCTCCATTCTGAATTTTCTTTTGCTCACGCTTGCTCTCCGAACTTCGTGACACGCCCTGACACGTCTGCGCGTTTGAGCACTAAGCCTTCATTCGCGTTCGAAGCCCAAGCTCACCTGATGGCTCTGCTTACATTCCGTTCGAAACCTGGAAGCTGCTCCATACCATCCACCGACGAGAAGCCGAGACGAACTAACAACCGCCAAACATGGCCCAGCCACGCCAGGCCAGCTTCTCCATCCAGGCCCTCGTCCCCAGCCAGTCCACCATCAGGTCCGTGTCCTGGAGCAAGGAGAGGCGTTTGCCGCAAGTAACACAGACTTCTTGGTGACCGTATACGACTTCTGCAATCAAGCTTGGTCCACAAGCCCGGTTGTGCAGCAGATCTTCCAAGTCACAGGTGACATAAACAACCAAAAAAAGGAGATTTAAAAAAAGAGCTTGGTCCGGCAGTCGAAGGGATCATGAGGACGCATCGTGGGCTGGGACTGGAGAAGCTTGTTGCTGCGGGGCACAGGCTTTAAGTTCCCTCATCATTCTTAAAGTGAGAGAAGTCGAATGTCCCTAGACTCGCACCCCAGTTTCAAGCCCAGGTCCCCGGAGTAGGCCAGCACCGGAATGCCCCGCTCGAGGAGCTCTGCCACAAGCCCATCGGTGGAGCTCATGTAGTCGCCGCTGCGCACAAACCTGGTTTGGGGAGGGCAGGGAAGCTGCAAAGAGTGCACTGCGGAGCTGCGGAGCTGGCTCACATTCCTGACTTGTGCCTGATAAACCCGTTGTTGGGTCTAGGTTTGGGGCACCGATGGCAACTCAGGGCGTAGGGTCTTAGGGGCCGAGCAAACCCTACAGTAGGGTCTTCGGGGATTTGTGTTTAGCACTCAGGGTTCGCTTTGCTAAGGCACTCGGAGTCCACCTGCATGTTGCAAGGGCGCCAGGACAGGCCGACGGGCACCCCCAAAGCCTTCTGCACCTCTGCACGGGTGCTCTTGGGTTCAGGGATCAAGGTGCGGGCCCTGATGTTAGACCCTCTGACCCACGCCTTCGCATCGTTGAGGAAGGCTTGGACAGCTGAGAAGTCGAAGCAATCGACGACATTCCGCTTGTGGCACGCCTTCTCCAGGGGGCAACGTTCGCGCAGACAGCGCCACGCAGCTTGACATGCGAAACCCCGAACAAGCCTGTCGTACATCGTAAACATTGCGGCCGCAGTGCATCTCAGGCAGCAGCTCCTCCGTGAGTTGAGCCAGTGCCATAAGTTTTGGTCGAAGTGCTCGTACATGTTACGTTAGTACTCTTCAATCTACCTGATTCTATCATACTCATTCGGTCTGAGACTTGAGGCTCAAGGAGTGCACCACTAGGCGTCGGCATATGGAATTCCGGCATCAATCTTGCCAAGTCCGGGGGCTCAAAGTGCTGACCAAGCTCCCAAGAACCTCAAACCAGCAATATGAAATAGACCAGGTGGCGGAAATCAGGCACACTTGATAGGCTCTCTCGCACCTAAGTCGCCCGATTTTGGGATGTTCACCCCGTCAAGGTGCCACGAGCGAGCGCTGTCTAAGGGGCAGTGTTGCTCCTCTTCTGCAGCCTTGAACCTTCTAGACTTCTAGCCCACAAACCGAAAGCAAAGCTTCAAGCCCTGCGCCACCAAAGGACACCCACAACCCCAAAATTTACGTGCCAAGCCCTTTCTGCAACCACTTGAACTTACTGGTAAAACCTTTGGTAGGGGGGCCCTGCTGGCAAACCTTCAAAGGCCCCCCCAAAAAGTAAAGAACCACTCAAACCAATACGCCCGGGGCGCGAGGGCGAGCTGAGAGTGCCAGGCGAAGGCTGCCGGCAGCGGAGGATGGCGTCGAGGCATCCTTGGCATTTGGAGATCTGGGAGGATTGCTCATGGTGCTCTCCTTCAAAAATCGGGTTCTGGGTTTGGGGCTTTTTGGGCTCCTACGGGTCTCTCGGTCCTCGGCTAGCTCACGACACCAATGATGCCACCACAGCATCCGGGCAAGCCGGCCATCATAGCTGCGAAGACCTGCAAAGCTGGGCTTCCAGGCTTTGGGGGGAGTTGAGGCCAGAGCCTCCTTTCCCGAAAACCAAGCCACAGCTATGCGGGCGGAGCAGATACTCCCTGCTAGCCGTGGCACCAGGGGCCCATAACTCATCCCTGTCTGCCATCACTGAGTAGGTTTCTAGCCGAGCCCCAAGCCGCACCCGAAATTGCCACATGCCAGAAGCAGTGGGCTCCCGGGGGAGCCCGCGAGGTGAGGGACTGAGCTGGACTGAGCTGCCCACTTCCTTGCCCACAACTCCGCCCACGGAGCCTCCATCCTGTCCCCGGGATCGAGCTTCTTTGGCTTCTTAGGGGTTGGACTCCCGTGGTTTGCTTGGGGGTCTCGGGCATCGTGTCCTGCTTGCCGCCTGTGTAGGCCATTGTGGGTCTGGAGGCAAACTGCCTCAGCTTTGTCTGCAGACTTGCAAGGCAAGACAAGCCTCGCTTGTACCCTGCAACAAGAAAATACACAAGTCTGGAACCTAGGGATGTAGAGTACAAGTGACCTGCACTAAGCCCCCTCGAATTCCCTACGAAGAAACGATATAAGTGCCCAATAACGGGGTACGCCGCCGGACTGACCAGCGCATTCCCCAGTGCCAAGCCCCTCACCTGCAACCAGTGCGCAGGTGCTAAGGTTGAGTATGGCTGAGTCCTGTTCCTCAAAATGCTTTGATAGCTCAAAGCTCGGAACAGGCAAGGAAATGGACACGAAACGCAACCAACATCACACCCTGCTTGCTTCGAGGAAGTGCAGGAATTCGCACTGTGAAATTTGCACGAACATGTGCTACCTCAGTGCAACCCCTTGTTGGACTAGAGCAGCTTCGTGATGTTTGGGGGGACGAGCAACAGAATTTGGGTGTAGTGGCCGCCAACATGAACAACAACTTCCGGAAGCTGCCTTTGCTAACCGACCGCCCCGATCCCAGGCAGCTAGAAGCTCCGTGGCCACCGCAGGAATGTAGTGGCCTGCCGAAGTACCACACTTTTGGCGGCGGCATCGATGCAGGCTTGGGATGCTTGGTTTGGGCCAGGGCTTCTTGCCACCCTCCTGCACTCAGCCGTGCACTGAAAGTGCACAACAGTCCCCTGCATGCACACTTTTCCGGAATCGTCGCACGTTTGACCTCGGAATCGTGCTCCCACCTGCGTCCCGTGCGTATTTTCTGGCGGAGATCGCGCTCCCGCCTCAATCCTGCGCACTGCGCGCATGTTCTTTTGAAATGCAGAGCTGTCGAGGCCCAGACCACAACTCCGGTGCTGCACGTACACTTGCATGTTCGTTGCTCCAAAATACCCGACATGCACACAAACTTTTTGCGGTCGCATTTGGCCTGCATAGGACTCGCCTGCCAGAAACCTGGCCAGGGCTCACTCCATGGTTTTCTGCTTACTGATGTTTACGGTTGCACCCGCATTAGTATCGCTGCCCGCCATGACAGCAAGTTCCGGAAAAATCACAGGGCAAAACCCCTATTGACAATGGTTACCCGGCAGTTATTCGAAGTTCGCGGACCGGGTATGACGGGGGGGCCCAGGGAGCCAAAAACTATAAATAGCTTTGAGTAAGAAGGCCTTGAAAGCTTAGACCCTCAAGCTTTAAGGCTTGGCGCGCTTTCAACTTCAAACTCCAGAATGTTCTGCACGAGCTGCCCTCATACGCTTCAGCATATTCCTTCGGTTACCCGCATTAGTCCGCAGCCCCCCTGGCCAGAGAGCCAGAAAGCCTGGAAAGCTTTGGCCCTCAAGCTTCAAGGCTTCCCCGCAATACCCACCTTACCCCCAGCCCCCGTTCGCATTAAAAGAGTGTGAGCAAAAAACCCCGAAATTGCTTGGGGGAGCGACCGGGCTTGGAGACACAAGCGAGTGCCACACTACTGTTTCAGGGCAAGATGGGCTTTAAACTCGCTAGACTCTCATGCGCTCGAGCAGCAGCGGTGCTTCCAGCAGGGCTGGATAACGCTCGTAGAACGCCAGCATGAAGAAAAGCATGCGTTCAGACACTTCCAGCTCGTCGTCGCTCTCCGCTCCGACGGAAAAACCCACCTGGCCGACGCACACATCATCTCGCATGTTTCCCCTACCAAACTGGATCTTGGTGCTTCTTACTGCTTTTTGTTCCATCCAGCAGCCCCCTCCCGCTATTCCACAAGGTCTTCCTGTGGGCGCCTCCCCGGGCTGATCCACCCAGAGGACCGTCCCGGCTTCGGTCCTGCGCATGGAAGGCAGGTTACTTCGTGTTGTTACGCACGAACTCAAGATACCAACGCAGGGCATTCACCAAGCAGATGTGTAGATGCTTAGGCGCCTGACGCCAAGAACTCGAAAGAGCTGCAAACTTCTCGCTACGTCTCAAACACAAAGATCCCACCGAAGAGACACAACTAGTGATCTTCGCGGTGCCTTACAGACTAGGGGGGCCACTCTGGCTCTGTCACAGCGAGCCAGCTTGAAGCTTACATCCATGCATCACCTCCCGGTGCCCCAAGTCCAGCTCCATGGGTTCCACGTCATCTGCCACTTCTCCGACGCATTGCCCTTTCCCAGTGCAAAGGAATGCTTACTTGACTGGACCCTAAACTTTGTCAACCCAGGCTCCCCTCCTGTCAGCTGGGCCCTAAACTGAGCCCTCAACAACCCTACACCAGGTGCACCATCTCCCAGAAACACCCGAGTGGCGCTAGTGAACACCCGGTGGCCTGCCGAACAACATCATCTGGCCTTGCCCACCAGGCAGGGCCCGTTCTCGGACAGCATTGCCAGGATGGAGGAACAGCCGGGCCCACCAGTCATCCTCCGTGTGCCATTGAGTTTAAGCCCGCTAGCTGCTATCTTTAAAACCTTAGATGTTCGAAGGCTTGCGATGTCAAAAGACTTGGGGCAGTCAAGTGCAGGAGGCATCTCGTCAGGGCTCTCAGGTTTTCGGGCCGAGCTCCTCCATGCACGACCCTACCCGTCCTGCCCCTCACCTCACACACTCACATGCACACGCTGACATGATAAGAGAAGCAGCACAAGAATGCAGAAATCCCGGCCCAGGTTCCACAGGATCAAGGGAGCAGAACTGTTCCGGCGTGTGTCAGCTAGCCAGTAGAAGTACTGCGAACCTGCCATCGCTGCACAGCTCATGTCGGTTGGGGCTTAGTCGAAGGACTCTTGGGCAAGCTTCCGCCTCGCCCCGACGGCAGGAAGCCGGTCCGAGAGAGCGTGTCATCACCTCTTCGGGTTTAGGGTTTAGGGTTTAGGATTTAGGGTTTAGGGTTTAATTAGGGTTTCGGCACCCGCATAGTTTAATTAGGGCTTCGGGATTGGGGTTTAGGGTGAGTGCAGGTTTTTTGGGGTGCATCAAATCTAAGACGGGCGCGATTCACATCCGGACGCGAGCACCCAGTTCATGGCGTGGTCCATGTAACCTAAGCCTAAACCGTTGGGATCGCGGAGCCCGAATCTGGGGCCCGAGCAGAAAGTTCTGGGTCCCTGCTCGAAATCCTCATGACGCGGTCTTTAGGAGTCAGTTTAGCGGCCAGGGCACCATCTAGTTCCGTGTTTTGGCACGTGCAAACCCTGCATATAAGCCTGCGCATTCACCCGCTCAAAGGGGCTTTGAGGCCCTGGGGGCCTAGGGACTCGAAGAGGTTGGACGGTTCATCCCCCACTTCCGGCATGCTGCCAACCACTTCGTTTCGGGATGAGTGCTTCGGCGGTCCTGCGAGGCTTTGCCACCAGCCACGGCCAGCAGGCAGGCCAGGGAGGTGGCCAGGGCCATGGCTTCTGTGGCTTCCTTGTTCCCTTCTTTCAACTCTTGAATCCCTCTCGAAATTGGCTGTGCCACCCACGAAGCACATGGGTACAGTGCAGGGATGATCCCAGAGAACGACTGAGAACGACTATGCTTGCAGCAACCCGCCAGAGACACCTCCAACACGCCTTTCGTCACAACGTCAGTTAACCTTGAGGTCAGGTGGCTATGTCTCGTCAGACACATTACATGTACCGGGTTAGGGTTCAGCTTAGGGCTGCGGGTAGGCTTGAATGTGTGAAAACCTCGGATTTGGGGCTTCTTGGCTTTCGGGCATCAGAGGCTACCGTTGAAGCTTTTGGAGCCAAAACAGCATTTTCTGTGTGGTAGTTGCAGAGGCCAGATAATCCTCGAACCTTTCGGACACTGCGGCCCTTCCCCAAGGCATGCGCCGATTCCTGTGAGAAAGAAACCCTATTTGCTCCGCGGTTTGCGACTTCCGTCCGGTGCATGTGCTGGACTCCACCTGAACCCAATCCCTTTTTCGGGATCTGGGTTTGAGGTTTAAACCCTAAAACGTTGAAATGGCCCTAAAACCTATGGCTGGGGGAGCAGCCTTGAAAGGGTTCTCGGTGCCCATGTCTCGCTGGAGGTCGGTGGGCGTCCAAGTTGCACCTCAAAGCAACTCGACGGCGGTGAAACAACAAAGCAAAAGAATAGCTTAAGCTTCGGGCGGTTTAAAAGAAGGCGTGCGGTTTTTTGGCCTGCTTTCGAGGCATAGCATGGGGCATCGGAGTCTCATAGCGCGAATCGTAGGGGGCAGTGGGGATGGAACAGGCTTGGGGCATCCTCTGCACTGCCAAGAAGTACCGAATACCAACGCCAATGCATCCTGGGGAATGCACAGGGCCGCATCTCGTACTCGGTCAAGATGTTGTCCACCCCCTCGCCTGGCCAAGCGAAGGTCTTCAACTCAGTTTCCTGTTTCTAACAGTCTAACGTTCTAACTGCCCCACACTCTTGCAGCTGCGCCACGCATAGGCGCATCCCGGCGCCACTCGGACGAGAGAACCTGGGAGAGTGGGCCCTCAAACTACGCCGAGGCTCCTACTGCAGGAGATGAGCAACCCAGAACTCTCAACCCAGGAACCACCATGAACCACTCAAACCGAAAGTCCTCGAGGTAAGGCCCTTCAGCCTCAGAGTCCTGCCGCCGAAAGATGCCTCCCTGGACTTCTGAGGCCGATGTGCGATGATGGCCCCGGTATTCTCGACGATGTGCCGCAGGGAGAGCCTTTAGATACAGGGGTTGGATCCAGCCCTTGCCCAAAACCTAAACCCAAACCCTAACCTCCAGCCCATGAAACCAGGCAATTCCATGTCTAAACTCTCTTCAGGTTGTGGGATTCTCGTGCCACCCTCGGATAGCCTGGGCAAATTACAGCTGTAGGAGGGATCAGGAGGGCCTTAACAACCTCACGGGGTGCGTGGCAAAGCTTCAGGAGTCCTGGTCATTTTACAGGGGGGGGGGGGGGGGGGTGGGCTTGAGCTGGCCTGAACCAGGCTTCGTCGAAACTAGGGCCATTTTTTGAAATGGGGACTCCGTACCTTTGGAACCAAAACGCGCAAGTACACCCTCCGCCTATTTGTTGTGCTGATTCAGTATCTCGGGTATGGGGCGGTTTGGGTTCATCAGGATTCAGAGTTCGGGCGTTTGATTTTGGGGCACATGTCCGGGCAACTACTCTGGCGAAGGACTCTTCCAAACAATTACTCTAGACTCTAGATGCATAATGCAAGGATTGCAGACCAGATGCTTTTGTAACCTACGCGAGGTGACATCCGCAATCTAGTCAAATGCCTTTTTTGAGCACGTATGCCAAGAAATGCATTGCTCAAGCATCTGCCCGTGGTCGCTGCGTCCGAAATTGGCGCCATACTCCTCTTCGGCTTCATGCAAAGCATCCATGCGTGCACGATGGATTAGAAGATTAGAAGCACCACTTCCAAAAACGTGCTAGCAACTTCCAAATGGCAATGCTCCGCTGCCAAAGAAGGAGGCGTCGCGGCTGCAGCATCTGTTTTTGTCAGTGCCATGGTCCCGCAAAACATGCGCCACCTCCAAGTGGCCTTGCTGATCCGCCACGGAAAAAGGCAATTCACCTGTCTCCGTGCTTGCTTGGTTCTTGTCGGCGCCTGACTCCAGCAACAAGTGAACTATCTCCAAATGGCCCTGCCGAGCTGCCACAAAAAGAGGGGTTTCGCCTCTGTGCGTGGTGGCCTGGTTCCTGTTGGCACCAAACTTCAGCAAGAAGCGCACGATATCCACATGGCCGTGCTGAGCTGCCACAAAGAGAGGCGTGGCGCCTCTGTGTGTAGTGGCTTGGTTCCTGTCCGCACCAAACTCCAGCAACAATCGCACCATCTCCATATCGCCTCGAAGAGCTGCCGCAAAAAGAGGCGTCGCGCCTGTGTCTACAGTGGCTTGGTTCTTGTCGGCACCAAACTCCAGCAGTAAGCGCACCACCTCCAAGTGGCCATGAAATGCAGCCACAAACAGAGGCGCAGCACCTCGGTCGGTGCATGCTTGGTTCTTGTTGGCGCCAAGGTCCAGCAACAACTTTACCATCGCCAAATGGCCTTGCTCAGCTGACACAAGAAGAGGTGTTGCGCCTCTGTCCGTGCTTGTTTGGTTCTTGTCGGCGCCAAACTCCAGCAGCAACTGCGCTACCTCCAAATGGCCCCGCTCAGCTGCCACAAGAAGAGGTGCTTCGCCTTTGCGTGTGCTTGCCTGGTTCTGGTCGGCATCGTAGTCCAGCAGCAAGCGCACCACCTTTAAGTGGCCTTGCTGAGCTGCCGCAAAAAGAGGGGTTGCGCTTGTGTCCGTGTTTGCTAGATTCTTGTCGGCACCAAACTTCAGCAGCAAGCACACCACCTCCAAGTGGCCTTGAGCAGCTGCCGCACAAAGAGGCGTTGCGCCGCCTTTGCACGTGTGGGCTTTGTTCTTGTCGGCACCAAACTCCAACAACAAGCGCGCCACCTCCAAGCGGCCTTGAACAGCTGCCACAAACAGAGGCGTTGCTCCTGTGTCTGTGTTTGCTTTGTTCTTGTCGGCACCAAACTTCAACAATGAGCGGACCACCTCCAAGTGGCCTTGAACGGTTGCCCCCCAAAGAGGCGTCGCGCCTCTGTCCGTGCAATGGTTCTTGTCGGCGCCAGACTCGAGCAGCAAGTGCACCACCTCCAAGTGGCCTTGCAGAGCTGCCACAAAAAGTGGCGTTGCGCCTCTGTCCGTGCTTGGCTGGTTCATGTTGGCACCAAACTGCAGCAACAATTGAGCCATCACCAAATGGCCTTGCTCAGCTGCCACAAAAAGAGGCGTTGCACCTCTGTCCGTGCTTGCTTGGTTCTTGTCGGCGCCAAACTCCAGCAGCAACTGCGCTACCTCCAAGTTGCCTTGTTCAGCCGCGACAAGAAGAGGTGCTACTCCATCATGCTGAGTGGCTTTGGCCATGTCCGCATACGCTGCCAACAACAACCTCACCATCTGCACGTGGCCGCACGCGACTGCGAGAAGAAGCGGCGTCACCGCATCGTCCTCGCTGCTGCTGTCCTTGTCTGCACCAGCTTCCAGCAGAAGTAGTACGACGTCTTCATGTCCTTGACTCGCTGCAGCATGAAGAGCTGTGAGCCCAATCCCGTCCTTCGCATTAGGATTTTGGGGTCTCTGCAGAATGTCCTCAACCCGAGCCGTATCACCCTCTCCTGCTGCTGTTGCGAGCTCACTCGCTTCTTCTGTAGTGGTGGGGCTATGACTAAGCAGAACCAGCTGCAGTTCTGAAAACGCGTTGAAATCATCACTGTCCCGAAGGATCTCCCCACTTGGGCGAATGATCTGCTGCTGAAATCTCGGCCGACCGCAATGTCTCTGCAGATGCCTCTTCAACGCTTTGACAGTGTGGTCTGCCGAAGCAAACGAGAGGCGCTCTTCAGCATCCGCCATACAACAGGCACATACCTGCTCGCCAGTCATCATCAGAACACGAGGCATTACAGCGCAGCCCGATGTTTCGGCGACCCGCTACAAAGACCGCAGCCTCGTACAACAACCTTCGCCCAGATCCTGCAACATATGCCCCAATATATTGAGCGGTGCCCGAAACCACAACCCTATTTTCTTTCGGATACGACAGTGCTTATGGCAGCTTACATTTTCAAACCTTTTGCTAACGGTATGACTTTGTTGCTATTCTCCTTGTGTCGCTTACGCCGGCGCACACAGCTTTCGATGCTTACGGCAACATTATGGCTACCTTTGGGAACACACTTTGCTTACTCCAAACCTCGTTTCAGAAAGCTCCTGTCTTGTCTAAATATGGAGGGTTTTGATCTCCGCTCAATGCAACATGCATTTGTGCAACGTAGGCCCGGCAATGAATTACAACTGGAACTCTCAACTCGTCGATTGCATCGGATGTTTAACTGCCAAGCAAACCCAACATGGGGTTAGAGATCAGTAGTTGGAAGGGGGCTGGGGGTTTGTTTAGGGACTGAGGCTTTGCGGGGTTTGGGGTCTAAGGCTTCGCGTATCTCTCGTGCCACCCCAAAACATAATAGGGGATAGGATTAGGGGGACCCTTGAGGGTTGAGAAGGGTTCCCTTTTAAGGGTCCCCTTAATCCGACCTGGGAGACATACCTGCACCAGGGCCCCCTGCAGGGCCCCAGAAATGAAGTCGGCAGTCTCAGCACGCAGCGCCCACTCGCCATCCACCTGGGCTTTTCGTGGTTTTTGGTTCAAGGCTTCGGCAGACATGCGTGCGCTAAGACAGAGAATAGAAGAAGAACAGGGTTCGGGTTTGAAAGTTTAAGGTTTCTGGGCGCTTTTTCGGTATAGTTGGGACCCACATGTGGCCAGTTCCCCGAGTCCTGGTCCTTGCCGAGCACTGGCCGCGCCCGTTTAGAGGCCCAGGTGAGAGGGAAGTTAGCAGTTTCCAGCCCCGGCTACCCCCTAAACCCTGGGCCACATCGCTCTGGGGCCCGAAACCATCATCGATCTAAAGCCGCCCGCTGTTAGGGGCCGCAACCTCGGAGCAGAAGATATGGGGGGATTCAGCTGATGTGAGCGTTAGAAGGGTGTGGGTTTAAGGCTTCGGGGCTTGAGAGGGGTTGGGGGTTCTAGGTTGATTTCCCCCCCCGCCTTGGCCTTTCATTGTTGCCAGTTTCCCAGCTGACACTCACGAAGCATTGCAGGACACTTCCCGGCAATCGAAAATGGTCTTGAAGAACTATGCCAGGCGTTAGAGATACCGGTTTTAGGGTTTAGACGACGCGAATACCAGGGAGGTGATAGTATCATGACAAGCTTCCAGGTTGTTGAGGCCTATATAACTCTGAGTACCGCCTTCACGGCGCCTGGCCACACCCCCGATGGGTCAGGGCATCTTTGAATCCCAAAATCCCGACCTCGAGCGTCCAAAGGCTTCAAGGATGTCGCGACCCACTGAAGCTGTGGAAGCACGCTGCGGCTCAGAGCCCTCACTGGATACTGTTGCATGGCGTAGGGTTTGTTTCAGGGCCTTTAGGATCCTTTAGGTGTTTCTAGGAGCAAGCCCGGCACCTGCACAAGAACTAAACCCAGCGAGGAATGGTCCGTTGAGGGCAGTCTCCCCTGTTCTCAGGCTGTGGCACCCCATCCACATCCAAAAAGATCACCTTCGCTGGATCTTCCACCTCCGATACATCTCGGAAGACGCGGGGAAAAATGCCCCACAGCAGCAACTGCCAAAAAGCACTGATCTCTCCCTGTTGGGATTCTTTCTCAACATGCACAGATGTAGTTGTTTCTATCAGTTCGAGTACTATTATCTTTCGACTTGCAGACTTGAGACTCCAACCATCAAAGGGCCTGACTCCACGTTAGGGCTGCCTTATTGGGGTCCTCGGTATGAGGGAATCCTACCCCTTGATTTTGTAAACCCACATGGCCCTAAAGCACACTGTGCGCATTCACAAAAACCTGCAAGTTTGCAGTCTCTGCCGCTCCCGTCGTGCCACTAACCAAATCGGCAGACATTCAGATCACTGGGCCCCTCACGGTGTATCGAATCATCTTTATGCTATAAAACACGGGTACGGAAGATGTTCTGCGAAGCTTCGGTGTATCTCTCTCCATGAGGCGTGCACCGGCAGGGGCGGGAACCGGTGCTGCTTCCAGGTCGCTTGCCTGAAGGCTTAAAGGCTTCGCGCGGATCCGAGAGCAGCCCCACAGCACACTCCCGAAGAGATCCGAACAGTGAAGCTGTGAGCTTGAGGCGCATCATGGCAAACATAGGGAGTAGGGAAGAAGGGAAGATGCGTCCAGGATGTTCTGAGGCTGACACTCTTTCACCCGCTGTGCCATGGCTTGATCCTGGCTGATGGAATTCAGGCCAATGACAATGACCCTTTACCTTCATCCCTCACGATGCGACCCTGTCTGCATCTCATGATGCGAGGTTCAAAACTTGCTATATGCACACACGTGACCGCGACAAGCTGCGACTTGCAGTGACTACACCTACTTCGCCTCTTGTACATGCAGAGTATACGCCTGGCATACGCTGCCACCGTACGGAGGGCGCAAGCCATTCGACCCGAGGAGCACCGCAGCCGAAGCTAACAGCGCACACGACGCCTCCCTTGCGATGCCCGAGAACGCTATGGGTCAGGTGTTCACCTGCCTTCTCTGGATCAGGCGGCGGTAGCCCTCCGTACAAGCTGTCCAGAAGGTCGTCTGCCTGCACAGGCTTGATTGGGGCGGAAAAGGGCCCGAAGAGCGAGGAGGTAAGTGTGAGAGCGCAATTAAGAGACAGAGAGAGAGAGAGAGAGAGAGAGAAAAAAAAAAAAAGAGAGAGAGAGAGAGAAAGAAAGAAAGAGAGAGGGAGAGCGAGAGAGGCAGAGAGAGAGAGGGAGAGGGAGAGGGAGGTTTAGGGTGAGGGTTTTTTGTTTTCGCGCCCGTTTCGCGAACGTGTACAGGGAAAAGGTCAGCTTTGACTATGGCCCAAGTGCAGGTTGTCGCTGTGAGGCGTTGGTAGGCATAGAGGGGGCTGTTCTCTTTGCTTAACGAACAGGTGCACATGAATTGCGCTTACAAGGCTCACACAGGATTTGACAGCCCCAGTTCCCGCTATCCTCAATCATACGGCTCGCTTGACCATCCCCCACCTACATTCCCTCAAGCAAGTATTGCTTCCTTCTCGCTGGTATGTGAAGGAAACAGCACATTGTGCAGAGAGTATAGGGTTTACCATCACGACTCACGACCGGAGGGAGTGCGGATTTCAGCCGGGTGTTTCAGGCCCAGACCCAGCCTCCTTATTTCTCTGCATCTCTGCTATCCATATCATAGATTCAGCCATGAGTCGGTTTCCAACTCAGCCTGTTTATTTACATAAACTCAAAGTGTTGCAGGCTACATGGAGCCCCTAGGAATGACTTATGGGCAGAGACCAAGCTCATAGCTAGCAAGTGAGAATCAAAAAGGTCTTCCACAGCCCGCAAAGACCCAGGACTGTCGCGAGACATTGGGTTGATGGGTAGGGTTTAGGGTTCTCAGACCACGGGCATCAGGCCTTCGACTTCTTGGTTCTGTCAGCTGTCTCCTCCTTCTGTTTTTTAGCTTCCTGCACCCAGAAGCCCTGCTGCACTGCCAGCGACTTGCTCAGCTTTGTGGCGCTCTCTGTAGGATTTTTCGCCACATTCAGTGGGAACCTTTTTGAAACTTGACATGTTGATTGCCCACTCAGTTGAACCAGCTAAACCCGCCCGCAGCCTACCAGGATCTGACGGATGGCTGAATGCACTGGCCTCCACCTTCCGCTTCTTCCTCGCCTCCTCCACACCCGCCTGCCACGACTTGCGGGTTACATGTTAATAAGGGTGCTTAAGGGACGTTTAGGGTTCTAAGGTTTACGGGGATTCTGGGCGAACTCCTGCGCACTGATCCTTCGTGGGAGACCTAGGCCAAGCAGCACTTTCAAGTATAAATCCGCAACCCCGAAAAACGTGCAAGAAAAAAGTTAAACATACATCGTATATACATCTATCAAACTGACTCTCTAACCCTAGGCCCATACGGTAGAGATGCAAATACCTATCCCCCTCTATCTTTCCAGCAAGCCTGTGAATGCTGCATGCATCCTAAAAGTCCTCGTAGATGCCGATTATTAGGTTTCTTCTATAGACATCGCTCATGGGCTTGTATAGCCTAACGGTAGCGAAGAAGAGCTGGATTCAACAAAGCACCCCAAGCCCCAAACCCTACACCCCCGGCCTTGACACGCTCCGCACGCTCCTCACATGGGGGAAGATCCAAATGGTGGAAAGCCTTAAATCGTGTTCGGGACCCTCTGGGATAACGTAGAGGATATTCTGTAAACTGCGGCACCGATCATTTTAACCTCCTTACACGAAGGGTTCGGAGCCTCTCCGGGTGCAGTTTTCAGAGAGGACGCGTTGTTTTCTTGGAGCTACAAGTAAAGCTTGGGGCAGTCAGGACTTCTGGATTCTTGTAGTCTCAGCACATGGTGTACCTTGAGCTGTTGGTGCCTCGGACCTTTGCTACAAGGATCGAAGATGGGCACATATGCAGTATGTCTGGGCACTTCCGAGTCCTCGACCCCCGAGTCCACAACATGACAGCACTTAGCATGTGTGTAGGGCTCGGGTGGCTTGAGTACATCTTGAGGATTGGGCGCGACCTTTGCAGTGCCGCTTTAAGTGGCGCTGGCAGTTCCCTCGCTCTACGAACACGATCCACGAGCTTGCGCCTTCGCAACCCGCTCCCTTTCGGCCTGACAGCGTCAACAAGCGCTGAACAGCAGCGTCATCTAATCTGGCACCCTTATCGCCCCTGACCTTAAAGCCTACCACCCTAAACCTTTAAACCCTTCTAAAAGCTGAAGCCCCTGAGAGCCAGGATGTAAGGGTCTCGTAAACCCCGCTATTTGGGCGGCTCAGGGTTGGTGAGGCTTGCAAAGCTAAGGGGGCTTCGGTGTCTTTTGCACTTCGGGTTCTGCTGCACTTCTGGCTCTTTTGTGGGACCCGCATAGTTGGACGAACCACCGCGCATTGGGTGTAGCGGCTTATTAATTGTGCTGATGCATGCTTTTACCTTCACCCAGAGGCCTAGACACACAAGATACCCAAGGATGCACAATCTGAAGTCCGATAAAAGAACCCACACTCCGCAGACCCTCCCAGCAACAAGCTTCGAAAAAACCTAGCTTCGGAACGGTAAACCGGAAACCCTCAAATCCAGGCCCATTCAGACTACCGGGTAGGGAAGAAGCAGCAAAAAAAAACCTGAAGCGGAACCGTGCCCCCAAATCTTTCATGGACCTGCACACCAGTACCAAACCCGCGACCACGCACTGCAACCCTTCTCAACACCGGGCTCCGGACAATCTGGCCAGCTCGTTGCAATGAGACACACGAGTCACCGGATTTCATACACTCTTCGGGAATATGGAGGACATGATTCCTAAGCCCCAACAGCCAAACCCCAAACAAGCAGGGGCCCACAAAGGTCCAAGTTCCTGGCAGCTGTAGCGGCAGTGCGGGCTTTCAGCTGAGCCATGGGATCCTTGGCCTCGATTTAGGACTTTCAAGCGGAGTTTTAGGGCTCTCGGGGCTCTTATCTAGTGGTGTTCTAAGGCTTGTTTTTGGTGACTTGATCATTTTGTTCGGATGTGGGGTTGTGATTGTGCCAGAGTTTGCCTTGTTCTTTGTCAAGGGTGCCGGTCAACTACATGGCACCGGGTTGTGGGTCTACTGTGGTTGGATCCGGGGCAAGATTGAGCACTGGCGTATCGGAGTACACTTCACTGTTGGGAATTGGCTTGGGAACATCTTGGGCATGAAAGCAGCTGAGAGGTAAGGCTCAGAGTGCGGAAAAGTGCTCAACTTGGAAGGTCAGTTGTTGTTACTATCCCGAGCTTATGCCAATGTAGCCAATACATTGTGCCAAAAGCCCGGGAGCGGGCGCTTTTGTCACTGGGGCTCACCGATGCCGTGTCCCAGCATGAGAGCAGCCTTCTTGCCAACCGGCTCCGTGAACACGGTGCGGAACCATCCCTCGCAGTTGCGCGCTACCTCCGGGCACATGAACAAGCAAAGCTTCAAGGACCGTGTCTTGCTTGCTCTGCCCTGCTACGAGTAGAGACCTTGCTGCTTCTAGTTGTCCGACTGTGCTGGTTGCTGATGGTGTCCCAGGCCTCCTCGGGCGCAACGAGGCAGAGCGTGGCACCCGGAAAGGACCTCGCCAAGCATCGGGTGATCTGCGTGGCAGCCTCCACCTGGCACTTCAAGTTCTTGCCCCAAGGCAGGTTCGAAGCAACCAGCAGCCCCTGGCCGGAGCTGCCCACGGCCATCGCTGGGACGGGCCACCGTTCCGTGGCATCCCACTCTCCCACCCCGATCCCCGGCACAGGCTGAATTGGCCTCTGGCCAGGCTTTGCTGCTTTTCCTGCTTTTTCCTTTTCGAGCTCGAGCTCGAAAGTTTGACTTGGGAAGGCGGCCTCCAGGTTGCACTTGGCCCTCCTCACCAGCGTGGGGTTCACGTCCCCAGCATAGATGGGCCAGTCGCTTTTGCAGTACTTGGCGGCGGCCGCCAGGGTGCCCGTGCCGCAGGTCGCGTCGAGGAAGGCCACCGGATCCTGGGACCAAAGGCGCCTGTGCACCCGCAACCCCAAACCCAGCATGGCAAGGGCTGCCAGCGGCTCCAGAGCAGCGCTGTAGTCTGGAAAGGGCCGGGCCCTCCACGCAAGGCCAAATTCCGTGGGTCGAAAGCCATCGAAACTTAGGGAATCCCGAGCCAGCAGAAACAGATCCTCCCTTCCTACGACCTGCACCGTGACCAGCCGTGCTGCCACATCCGAGTCGGTTGCCTCATGCACAGGCCCCCCGATGGCTCGCCCGAGCTGAGCAGCCATGAATCCGCAGGACTGTGTGTAAGGAGCAAGGGACTCAAAGCGAGGCGGATGTGGACCCTCATGCTCCAGGCTCCATCCATCTGGAAACTCGAGTTTCAGTTGACACGTCGCAGACAGAAGGCTGCGCTGAGAGCCCGGAAGCGTGAGCAAGTGCAGGCATCGTCTCAAGCCCGCTACATGCCACACACTGTGCTTGAAAGTGCCTTCTCGCAATAAGGGGGGTTCGGGCCCAGGGCTTGTCTCCTGAGGTGGCCATGCACCGGGCTCACTGGTACAAAGGCGGAATAAGCCCTGACCGATCTCTTCCACCTCAGCCGCATCACGCCAAGCTTCCCGAAGATCCAGTGCCAGGACACGCTCCCACCGCTCGCAGGCGCACATGAGCAGAAGTGGCTCCTCAAGCAAGAAGTGGGAGGCCGCGTCCTTCATTGCTTGCTTCCGCGTGGCCGACGCCAAAGCTGTGGCCTCGTGGACGGCGGCTGGCACCCGCTGCCGCTTCCCAGGCTTGGATGGCGCCTTGGGCACCCAAGGCACCACGCAGTGCAATGCGAAGCTCTTGCCAGCTTGGCAGATGCGAAACTCACCCAGGCGTTCAAGCCGAACCACACCTGGCACGACGAGCGGACTGCGCTGCACGCACTCTCCCACCAACAATCCCCAGCGGTGGCAAATAAGCAGCTAAAGAATTCAAAGAAACAATGCAGCCTAATTTATTCACCCATGTCCTCCAAATCTGGAGCTTTGCAGTGGCTGACTTTCCATCAGTTTCATGCCAGTGCCCTCAAGAAGTGGACTCACATAGCCGTCGGCCTGCGAACAAATGTGTGGGTTGTTCAACTCCGCGTACAAGAACTGATGCGTTGCCAGAAGATTCCAAGCCGCAGGGAATTGTGGATCAACCCAACAACTTTGGCACCCTTCAGCGCTCCGATGCTACTAGTTACTAGTACACTTGACAAAGCTTCCAAGCACAAGCAGAAGGCCTTTTTACGTTCACTGTGCTTCTCCACCAGCTCCGGCCAAAGCTCTCCCAGCCACGGCTCACAACAAACGTGATCAGAAGCCTGAATCAGGGGTGGGTGTCAAACGACACCGTACAAAGCACAACCACCACCAGACCACCACAAATCTTCCAGTGACAACATGTGAGGAAAAATGACCGTGACACAGCTTGTGGGGCCGAAGTGGCCGAACAATTAGCATCCGGGCTTGCTAGCGAATCAAAAAAAGTAAAAAAGGATGTCCGGCAAACGATTTGTTGTACAAGCGCGCAAAGTTGCCTAGCGTCGGTCCCATCTCAGATGTTGCGAGCCCTGGCAAATACTCCTCCCACTATATCTCCAGCCAGCGAGCATCAAGAAAAGTACACCCGGGATGCCCCAAGTTTGTCTGGCTAGGCTTTGCCCCCTATGCTTCTCTAACCTACATTTTCTACAAGAAGCTGGTCCACTCTACCCCCCCCCCTTCTTCCCAGTTGGCGTCTTCCGGGACTCCCTTGCTTAAGTCTGATAGAAGTCCCCGGAAGACATGCAGTGCCATGCCAATACATCGGTCGATGAGATATCACCACAAGTACACGAACTTCCTTTTCTACCACCCCCCCCCCCCCCCCCGGTTTTCTCGTTCGGGACTTGCCCGGGGCTTGCCAACAATGCTGACGGAAAAACCGAAAGGCAAAAACTCAAGGGAAACGCATGACATCATAACAGCAGAGATCACGCATCACCAGCATCCTCATCAAGTACTCCTGGTATGCAAGATGGTGCAGCCACATCCGCCGAACCAGGCTGTACAGGCACCTGCGCAAACTCTGGAAGGCCGTAAGATTCCAAGTCCATTGGCAAGAGCTAAAAACTGCCATTGCCACAAAGAACAACTGGCCACCCGTATGCCGAAGCCACGGCTTCACTCTGTTGGATCTGCCTGTACATGCAAGGAAGGGGAGAACGCCACCCATGACCTCCGAATGCGCACAACAGCCTCAAGATTGCCTTAGCACAAAACTCACGTAAGCCGGGCTGCAAAGTTCGCAGGGCAATCCCATCGATCGCACTGGTTGCATTTCCCAGGCTGTCGAAATCGCACTCGCATTGAACAGTTTCGACCTGAAGGGCCCCTTTTTGATGCTGCTTCACCCGGCTACATTTTTGCTTCAGCGGCGTGTGTGATTCGGCCTCACCATCTTCGTCACACAAGATGTTTTGGCAGCAAACCATGTAAGAATGTCGAAGCCTGACCCACATTCCAGCCCGCAGTGGCCTGTCGTTTGCGATTTAAGGGTTTAAAAAAATCTTAAAACACAACCCTGGTTCCCCGCAGCCACTAGAACGAGTGCTCCGTAAGATAGCAACACAAAATTGCCCGGATCGTCACCAAGCCGCGGTTCCAGATCGTCCGCCTACCAACAGATGCATTTTGTATGTTTTGGGCGCATGCATGTGCCGGTGAATGTAAACGGCGTGTACACACCTTGCTCAATTTAGTTGAAGTGACTACCGCACCGTCATATTACACATTCACATTGTCACATTAAGTTCTGGCTTTCCGCGGCGCAATTTTGAGATGTCGAATGTTGTTGTTTCCTCTTTTTTTTTCTCGCACCTTTTTGCGTCCGCCGTCTGGGGTTCAAGGGTCGGGGCTACCTGCCGGGACCTCAGTCTAGCTGCCCTGGGCGTTCGGCAAGCAACTCCCCCAGCGGCGGCTCCTGGTCGTCCCCCGCGTCACACGGCTGCACCGGCAGCTCCAGCAGCGTCTGCGCGTGCGCGCGCAATGCTGCGATGGACGCGAGGCAATGCCACCGTCGGGTGAGCGCTTGCCCGGTCGCGGCAGCGTTCCACGGCGCCCGCGCTCGCCCGCGTGCCCGCGCCAGGCGGCGGATGAAGGCGAGGGCGTTGGGCCTGAATCGTCCTCCGACCTCCATGCCGAAAACGACCAAGCGACAACGCCCTGCCCCGCCGGCCCGCAGCTCCGGATACGTGCGTTGCTTGCGCGCCTCGGCGTGGCGAAGCGTGCAGCCGAGCTCGGCGTCGGCTCCTGGACGGGGCTCTCCGCTCCTCTGCAGCGGGCTAACGAGCGTCGTGTCAACCGCGATCTGGGCGCCGCGCCACAGGGGCAGGCCGTTGGCCACGACCTCAATGCGGCGCCCGTCTGCGGCGGGGACGTCGACGTCCAGGTCGCGGAGGGCCACGCTGGCCGCCACGCGCGCTCCGGCCTCTCGGCAAATGCGCGCCGCTGCCCGTTCGAGTGGGCCTGCACGATGTGCGAGAACCCCCGACTTGCGCACAAGCCGCGCGGTGATTCCCGAGGGAGTCGAGGGCCCGGCCACAGCGGCAGCGCTTGGGCGCGAAGGGGAGTGGCAATCGCATTCGTCGGAGCAGCATGACGCGGTACTCCGCGTCCGGCACGACTAGGTCGGCACTGGTGGGGAGTGCTGTCAGGGCACAGCTGGCGCCATCCCCCCCTGCGACAGCAGCAGCGTTTGGTGCGTGTTATCTTCTTTGATTCCACTGAAAACAAATTAAATGCGAGTCGCCGAGCGGTGCCATGTTGCGGCGCGGGCCTCAGCGGCTCTGCGTCCTTGCCTGCGAGACGGGGGGGTCACCTCGTCGCCCAGCTCGTCTGCTTCGCGCCCAGCACACAGCTGAGGGGCTGCCGGAGGGCGGGACGCTCGAGGAGGCCTCGCAGCATGGCCCAGCACAGACCCCGTTGTCAGTTCGTCTCGTGAATTTTGCGCCACATCGTGTTTGTGGCCAGTATCTGCCGTGATGCATCGGCGTGTGAGACGTGAACTGACCCATGATCCATCATGCTCTGAGGGGCCGCGTGAGGACTAGTGATCTTACTTTGTTTTATTGCATCTTGTGTGATTGGTGTTGTCTATTTCGTACTTGCGACTTCGGCTAATTTTTTTTTTTTGGCGCACCTTTTTGCGTCCGCCGTCTGGGGTTCAGGGGTCGAAACTACACGCCGGGGCCTCAGTCTGGCTGCCCTGGGCGTTCGGCGAGCAACTCCCCCAGCGGCGGCTCCTGGTCGTCCCCCGCGTCACACGGCTGCACCGGCAGCTCCAGCAGCGTCTGCGCGTGCGCGCGCAATGCCGCGAGGGACGCAAGGCAGTGCCACCGTCGGGTGAGCGCTTGCCCGGTTGCGGCAGCGTTCCACGGCGCCCGAGCTCGTCCGCGTGCCCGCGCCAGGCGTCGGATGAAGGCGAGGGCGTTGGGGCTGAATCGTCCCCCGACCTCCATGCCGAAAACGACCAAGCGACAACGCCTTGCCCCGCGGGGTAAATTTTTCGAAGCTGTGATGACACCGATTGCATGTTTAGGTGCCGGGCATCGCGAAGTACGGCAGCATCATTTTCGCAAACTGGATTCAGAATGGCGACGATTGCTTAGAAGCATGGTTGCACCGCCTGCGGGACTTGATTGGTCGGTTTTTTTTTTTTACTGCATCCACTTCGCGGTCCCAGTGACGTAGCCCACGGCCACGAACAACCTACAGAATCTACGGCAGGCGACTGGCGAGAGGGGGCTGCTCTGCTGAGTCAGCAGCGATGTCGCTGATGAGAGGCGATTCTCCATCAACGTTTGCTGTGCCGGAGATGGGAAGGGAAAGGAGGCTGGCTGCAAAAGAACGGGCGGCTACAAAGGCGAGGAGAGCCGACCAGCGCAGCGCAAACGCGGAAGTGCACGCTGCCCGTGACGCAGCAGGAGCGGCTCGTGCCCGGCATCGAGCAAGCAGCCTGACAAACAGGGCGGCCTGGCGGCTCCAGCGCCCGCCAACCTCAAGGCCGAGGACGACAAGCCGGCAGCGGCGGCCGGACGCAAGCTCTGGATAAGTCCGGGCTTTGGCACGTTCTGCAACACGCAAAGCTGCCCCGGCCGCACGGCCTCCCTCACGACGTGGCATGCCCGCCGCAGCCAGCGGCGAGACGAGTGGTCGTTACCCTGGCAGGAGGTACTGCACTACCGCACGAATGGAATCAACATGTCCAGCAAATGAATTTTTTTTTCTCGCGCCTTTTGCGTCCGCAGCAGTCAGGGTCGGGATGGTCGAGTCCAGGGAAAATGACTTAGGCCCGGCTGGGCAGACGGCTTGGTGCTGGGACCTCGCTCCAGCGGGCGTCAGCTTGGAGGTCGTGCAAGGCTGGGGGTGTGCCAGCAGCACAAGGCCCAGACGGGACGGGGAGCTCGAGGAAGGTAGCCGCAAGCGCGCTCTGCGCAGCGGCGGAGACGATGCCACTCCACCGGAGGACCCACGCAGCCAGGGCAGAAGCCCTCAACGCGGACGGGGTGCCAGCCGCCCGCGCCCGAGCAAGGAGGCGAACGAAGGTGGCAGCCTCAGAGTCCCGGCGCCCCCCGACTTCAAGCCCGAAAACGACGAGTCGACATCGCCGACTGCGGTCAAGTTCGGGATAAGTTTGCCGCCGCTTGCGGCGCGCAGCGTTGCGCAAGGCACTGCCAAGGTGGGCGGCAGCCCCGGCTTGCAGCACCCCCTCGCGCGTCACAGGGCTGACGAGGGTCGCATCGACCGCGAGCCGGCGTGCCACATGTTGAGGCTGTTGCACACAACTTCGATGCGCCGTGCGTCGTGGACAGGCACGTCGAGGTTCATGGCCGACAAGGCCACGTTGCGCCCGACATGCGCGCCGGCCTCCTGGCAAACCCGGGCTAGAGCGCGCTCAAGGCAGTGCGCGGGATGCAAGGACGCCAGAGTTGGAGCAGGCGGCGCGGTGATCTCCATACTCGTCAAGGAAGCCCCGGCAGGAGCAGGCG